AACTCTTTAAATATTGTTTTATTTTTGAAGCATAATAGTTCTAAAAACCAAAAACTTAAACATATAGACATGATAATGGACAAAATTATTGTTAATATTATATGAGTGTGTATCGACATTTTAATATTAAAAATTTGTTATTAGATCGTAATTAGTTGCTAGAACAAAGTGGAAATTACTAACAACGTCGCAAATTTTTGCAACATTTATTAGATATTAGTACTGCTATTAATATAGAAAGTACTAGAAGAAGAGTTGAAAAAATAACTGAAGAAATCTTTTTTTTGAAGCAAATAGATATAACAACAGTGCTGGGACCCCAGTGAGGGGTGACCCCAGCTCCACATGTCTTGCTGTGAGAGCAAGACTTGAAGAAAAATAAAAATAAAAATTGGAGCCAGTCAGAAAACAGTGGGGGTGGTGGGGGTCACCCCCACTGGGGGTCCGGGGCATTTTCCTAGATATAATATCTAGTGTGTGATAAAAAAAAAGAAAAAAGAAGGTATTTTTATAATATAACAAAACTTAAGAGGCATGAATATAATAATTAGAACCTTAGGGTTAACATTGAAAATCAAAAAGGAACAAAGTGGCACAAGATCAGAAATATGAGGACCAAATTGATGAAATTCTAAGTAAAAGGACCAAACTGAAACTGAGAAAACTAGGAGGACCTTTCATGTAATTGGCCCAAAAATTAAATACGTAATTATTCATATTTACAAGTATTTTGTATTTCTCCATTTGAGGTAGCTGAAAAATGGTTTCTCTAGAATAGGTATCCACTTCCCAAGCCAACCAATTGGCCAAGATACTGCAGCAAATCCAATACATACTACCCACTGCCACCAATTCAACCTCTCTGTACTTACAAATTTCTTCAGGAATTCCACCATCACCACTTGAAGAACAACGGTAATCCCAATGATCGCCAAAAACAACTTGCTCCTATGTATTTCCTTGAAGACATTCTTCTGCTGTGTAATTGCGAAATTCCACCCCTTTTACCACTCTATCGTCCTGATGATGCCCTAATATCCCGCATTCGGTGGCTATAGTGTTGGAGAAAAATGGTTGAATGAGAAATTGTCTCATAAATGTGTATATAACTCACACATTTAAGGCTCATCAGTTTTACAAAATTGATTGGGCAGTTTTGCTAGCATTAGTTGCCAGCCTTGATGGCTAGAGGCTCCTCCCCTCTCCCCCATGGTGTATAAAAGGAGGCCCTATTCCTTGAAAAGAGATATAGAATTTTTTCCTTGACATCCATACACTGTCAGTCTACTTCTCCTATAATTTTCTTCCTGAGAGAGAGTGCTGCCGTTGTCTGTTCGCTAAGCTAATCAGAAAGTGTTTCTGTTGTAGCTGGTAAAAACCGTCATATCCTGGGAAGTAGACGCCGGCATACCTCCAGCACCCAACGGTGAGGCGGCGAATCTATTTTAAGGAGATTGTGGTATCACACAGGCTTCGGTTTGCTTCCTTTAACCATTTTATATTTTATCTGTATTTTATTCAGCATGTTATTTTTCCTGGGATTGAAGGTTTGTTTTGTTCATCTCATAATTTTGCGATATGCAATGTGAAATTATGTAATGTGAGTAGTTTTTCCCAACATATAGCTCTAGCAGTGAAAACATTGTCGCTAGTGATAATTTTGATGTTAACTCCACTATAATGTAATTCTTTCAAATGGCTTTTCACACAGGGTCGGTGTGGATCCGTTATACCTACCAATGCCAAAAGGGTCAAGCAATTATCCATTATATATCCTTGTGCTCCGTCTCAATATAACTTTCTAGAACTTGCTTATGTGTAAAAGCAATGCATCGGAGGCCACTATTGGCCATACCTTGAATTATTTGATCAATTTCATGCCTTTCATCATCATCATCATCATCATCCGGGGCTTTGATGTTTCCAGAGGAATCATAATAATGGGAACACATTGAGAGTACGATCTCTGCAGCCCCTTTCCAGTAGGGATGACAATTTGAACCCGGCCCGACGGGGACCCAACCCCCCGACCCTGAATTGAACGGTTTTTCCCCAAAAAATACCCCCGACGGGTCGGGGATGGTATTTAAAAATAAATCCCCGATGATATTCGGGCCGGGGACGGGGATACATTTTCCAACCCCGGCCCCGCCCCGTTCAGCTCCCTGAACTTGTTTATATATATATATATATATAAATATTTATGTGTGTGTGTTGTGTGTTTCTAAATTATATATATAAATATCATGTGTTTATATATATAAATATCATAATACTACATCTGGGTCTGGCCTCCCTCTTTCACTCTCACTCTCTCACACAACCGTAGCTCCCTCACCGTCACTGCCGGCTCCTTCTCTCGTTCTCACCGGCAGCCCCCTCACCGCTGGCTGTTTCTCTCGTTCTCACCGCTGACTCATCATCTCCTTCTCACGGTATCTCCGTCTCTCTCTCTCTCTCTCTCTCTCTCTCTCTCTCTTACAGATCTCCTTCTCTCTCTCTTTCACGGATCTCCTCTCTCTCTCTCTCTTGTTTTTTGCTTTTATTCTTTAGATCTGGAAAATGATGGAGATGGAGATGGAGATGAAGATGTTGATGAAGATCTGGTGGTGATAAAAATGATGAAGATGTTTTTTGATCTGTTAGAGCTTAGATTTTTTTTTTTGAGCTGATTTTTTTTTTTATATTGTTGATGTATTTTGAGCTCAGATGTTGTTGATGTTGTGTTTTTTTTTTTTTTTTTTTTTTTTTTTTTTTTTTTTTTGATGTTGTTGATGTTGTTTTTCAGCTCAAATAACTCGTTTTCTATTGATGTTGTTTTTTTTGGCCGGGGATTTTCGGGGTCGGGGAAACCCGATCCCGTTAGGGGGCGGTAGTGGGTTCCCCGTCGGGGATAGAGGCCGGGGACGGGGGAATTCCCACCATCGGGGATCAGGGACGGGGAGGGTGATCCCCGGCCCCACCCCGTTGCCATTCCCACTTTCCAGTGCACGTTGACCATACTGTCAACCATCTTCCTTATTGAAATGCCACTTCTTTTCGTTGTTGAATTGAAGGGTTCGACATGGAGAATTGTATAATTCTGCTTCAGTTCCTCCAAATCCATGTTTAGTTCCTGGACAGCCCAAGAAAGAATTTCCTTTTCAAAGGGCTTGCCGGAGAACTCAAATTCAGACCCTGAATGGGAATTGCAAAAAGTGTCTGTGGTATTTAGACCGACACCTTGGTAGAGCAACTCACGAACATTATCTACAATTGGAGTGGAAACCCTTTCGTCCACGGATTCCTGGCTAAGTGTCACACACTGGCAATGCGGAAGCCTTGACAAAGATATGCAAGTGTGTGGTGTTAGTTAACTCTCTTCACTAGCCCGCCAAAACTGCTCAAAAGGTTTGCAAAGACAAGCAAACACAATATTAGTTAAGTTGATGAACCACAAGATTGGAGACAAGCCACAAAATAGCAATCAATAAGCTAAAATTAAAGTAAACAACAATTGAAAGGCTTTGCACAATTTAAAGGCGAAATGAACTTTTCATTGATCAAAAGAAGACATTACAATAGTTAAACAATGCACTAAAAGTGGTACAAAAGTTGCCTTACCATAAGCTAGGTTGGGATACATTAAAGGCACAAGTGGTCTGGTTCAACACTTGGGTACCCCCTCCTTAATATAGCTTGTTAAGTTTTTTTTTAGCTGGTAGGAGGAAACATCCACTATGTTTGAGGAGTCATAATGGATTTTTAAAAATTCTACAAAAAGAGAAAAATTACAACTCTTGGTCCCAAAACACCTTTAATACTAAGGTATTTACATAAAAATTTACAAGGCAAAAAGATTACATTTGACCCTCTAAAAGTTGGTCTAAAGTTGCTACTTGGTGGCGTGGTTGCTTCATGGCATGTCTTGGACTATCTTGCACCATGCCTTAAGCCTTTGCTTGCACTTGCACCAACAATTTCTTAGGCATGTCTTTGGCTCTCCAAAGGGCACAAATGTGTGTGGCATCAAGGTGTTGACCCTTGGATGGGCACACCTTGACAATCTCCCCCACTTGAACTGTTGATGCCCTCGACGACTTGGCCCAATAAGCATCAATCTCATCTTGAAAAGCCGACAAGTCTGCCTCCCATTCCCAGTTGATTTCTTCATCTCCAAGGCCTTTCCATTTCACCAAGTATTGCCTTTGTTTCTTCTTGGAAACCATTTTCACCCGATCGGCCAAGATAGATTCAATAGACCTTTTTCCTACTTTGGCTATGATGGTTTGGCGTTTCAGCTCATTTCGGGTTGGATCTTCCTTGTCTGGATAGTAAGGCTTCAAATAACTCACATGGAAAACCGGGTGCACTTTCAGCCCAGATGGAGCATCTATCTTGTAAGCACACTTGCCAATTCTCTTCAGAATGGTTACCTGTCCCTCATACTTGCGCACTAGCCTTCTGTCTCTTCCCCTTATGAACTTGCATTGCTCAAGGTTGAGTTTGACAAGAATTTGATCCTCAGCTCTAAACTCAAGTGGTCTCCTCTTTTCATCAGCCCATTTCTTCATTTTACTTGCTGCTTTTTCGAGATAGACACGTGTAATGTCGTTGTTCCTCTTCCATTCCTTAGCAAATTGGTAAGTCCTGGGAGACTTTCCTTCATAAGGTCCATTCACTGTGTGGGGTAACAGTGGCTGCTGGCCATTCACTATCTCAAAAGCACTCTTGCCCATAGAGCTACTCTTTTGAGAGTTGAAGCATAACTATGTTACATCAAGAAGTTGCACCCAATTTCGTTGATTGACATTGACAAAGTGGCACAAATACTCCTCGAGCATACAGTTGAAGCGTTCTATTTGCCCATCTGTCTCTGGATGGTAGCTTGATGAAGTATTAAGTTGTGACCCAAGAAGCTTGAATAACTCCGTTCAGAAGTTGTCAACAAAGCGCGTATCTCGGTCACTAATAATACTTTTAGGCACACCCCAATACTTAACAATGTGCTTGAAGAAGAGTTAGGCAGTCTCCCCCGCTGAAACATACTTTGGGGCAGCAACAAAGGTGGCATACTTGGAGAACCGGTCCACAATAGTCAAGATAGTCTCAATATCTCCCACTTTAGGCAATCCAGTGATGAAGTCAAGTGATACACTTTCCCACGGATGTTTAGGCACAGGTAAAGGTTCAAGCAAGCCTGCTTTCTTCTTATGCTCAACCTTGTCTTGCTGGCAAGTGAGACAAGTGCGGACATATTCTTCCACATCATCACGCATTTGGGGCCAATAATATCCTTGTTTCACCAAGGCCAATGTTCGCTCCCAACCCGGATGTCCGGCCCAAAGTGTATCATGGCACTCCCTAAGAAATGTCTTCCTCAAATCACCAGCCCTGGGTACAAATATGCAGTTGTCTGTTGTCATTAGAAGTCCATCTTGCACCCAAAATTGGCGAGTCTTGCCCATTTTGAAAAGGTTCATAAGATTCTCTGCCATAGCATCCTTGTTTAGATGAGCCTTGATTTTCTCCTTGAGGCTGGTTGAAATGGAAGTAAGTGAACATATATGATGGCACACGGCAAGCTCCGCCTTCCTACTTAGTGCATCAGCAACATGGTTGGTAGCACAGGTCTTGTATTCTAAGGCAAATCAAACTCTGCCAACTTCTTTTGCCACCGTGCTTGTCGTGCGCTTAGCTTGGGCTGTGTTAAGAAATGGCTAACTGTTGTGGTTTCAGTCTTTACAACAAACCGTGAGCCCAAGATGTAGTGACTCCAAGTCCTCAGACAATTCAGTACTGCAAGCAACTCTTTCTCATGAACTGGATATCTCCGCTCGACATCATTGAGCTTTCTACTCTCATAGGCAATTGGGTGACCATCCTGCAAAAGAACACCACCTAAAGCAAAATCAGATGCATCAGTTTGTATGTCAAAAGCTTTACCTAAGTCAGGTAGAGCAAGAACAGGATCTTTTGACATAACTTCTTTCAAGGCTTGAAAGGCTTGTTGGCACTCCTCTGCCCAAACATATGGCTTGCCCTTCTTTAGCAACTCTGTCAATGGGAAAGCTAGTCTTGAGTAGCCTTCAACAAACTTGCGATAATAATTAGCTAATCTAAGGAATGACCGCAACTCTGAGACGTTAGTAGGTGGCTGCCACTCTTGAATAGCCTTGACTTTCTCTTGGTCCATTTTGATGCATCCTTGCTCAACAATGTGCCCCAGGAACTTAATCCTCTCTTGGGCAAAAGAACACTTCTCTAGCTTGACATAAAGCTTGTGCTCTCTCAACTTGGTAAGGGCCTTATGAAGATACTCCATGTGCTCTTCTAAAGTGGAGTTATAGATTACAATGTCATCCAAATATACTACCACGAATTGATCCAAATACTCTTGAAAAACTTCGTTCATCATGGTACAAAATGTTGCTGGGGCATTGGTCAAGCCAAATGGCATGATAAGAAACTCATAAGAGCCATAACAAGTAACAGAAATAGTTTTAGGCTCATCTCCCTCAACAATTCTTACTTGATAGTACCCCGATTGAAGATCTAGCTTTGTGAAATACCTTGCTTTGCTTAATTGATCAAATGAATTTGCAATGAGAGGAAGGGGATACTTGTTCTTGATGGTCAGCTTGTTAAGAGCCCGATAATCCACACATAAGCGAAGTCTACCATCATACTTCTTTTGGAATAAGACATGTGCACCGAATGGGGCCTTAGATGGCTGATGAAGCCTGCTTCTAATAACTCTGTAAGCTGCTTCCTTAACTCATTCAACTCAGGAATAACCATTCTATATAGTGCACGAGCTGGTGGCTTTGCCCTTGGCACCAACTCGATAGCTTGATCCACACCTCGGCGTGGAGACAACTCCTTAGGCAACTGTTCAGGCATAACATCTACAAATTGCCTTAAGACCTTCTTGATTGTGGCTGGGACAAGAGTAGATTCAAGAGCTTCATTCAACTTTAATGCGGCAACCCAAGTTTGCTCACCATGCCTAACACCTCTCTTGAGTTGCATAGTTGAGACAAACCGGTCACTGTTGTTGGTGGCCATAGCAGGAATAAGACATGGCTTATCTTCCATGACACATATACTATTAGAATAAGGCATGACTGCTGTCTTTGTGCTTCTCAAGAAATCCAACCCAAGGATGGCTTGGAAGTCATCTATGGGTACTACGGTGAAATCTACTCTTCCTTCCCAAGTGCTGACCTTCAAGTGAATAGATTTTGCAACCCTATAGATAGGCTGCGCTGCCGAGTTAACCGCCTTAATGCAGTTGCCATCCTTCTCTAAAGATAGCCTAAGGCTTTCAACTTCAGTTCTCGCAACAAAGTTGTGGGTGGCCCCTGTGTCAATCAAAGCACGAAGGGGTTTCCCATTGAGTTTTACATCCACAAACATTAAACCTTTGTTGGATGACTTGCTCTTGTTCAACTTGCCTGATGATTCCCTACTATACATGGGTTTCTTCCCTTTACCTTCATCATTAGATTCCACAAGTTGTTTGGGATCCGAATGCTTGCCCACTTTGCCACTCTTGGCATTTTTCTTAGGCCTCCCTATAGAAGCCTTCTTCTCCATGGCATTCATCATATGAAAGGCTCCCACTCTAAAGCCAGCTGTCTTAGAACCCTTGCCACTTCGCCTAGACCGTACGTCTTCTTCCTCACTATCATCACTTGGTTGAGAGACATGGTCTGACACAGTTGCTAGAGCATTCAAGGCACGCTTTTGTGGACATTCAGATAACCGGTGTGGCCCATTGCATAAGAAACAAGAGATAAGGCCTTTTGCTTTGCTTGTAGAGAACTGTTGAGGGGCTTTTGCCTTGTCACCATAGCTCTTCCGTTGCCATTGTCCTTCACCCGAATGGGTTTTGGATGTAGAAGTGTTGGCTTCCCTACTCTTAGGTTTGCCATAGCCTTAGGACTTTCCACCTCCCCTACTCTTGCCCGGGGAACCACTATCCCATTGCTTAGGTTCGGCATAGTCCGTAAGGCATTTACCTGCTGCTTGTGCATGGGCTAAATCTTGCACTCTTTGCCTTTGAAGTTCAACTCTGGCCCATGGCTTCAATCCCTCAAGAAAGAAGAAGAGCTTGTCTTTCACTGACATATCTTTCATGTCTAGCATAAGCCTAGAGAATTCTTTCACATAATCTCTTATAGTGTCGGTGTGCTTGAGATCCCGCAAAGCACGCCGAGCATTATACTCAATATTTTCAAGGAAGAATTGGAGCTTAAGTTCATGCTTAAGTTGCCCCCAAGTCTCAATTGTGCATAAGCCACGTTGCATCTCATCATGTTTAGTCCGCCACCACAACTTGGCATCACCGGACAAATACATTGTGGCCATAGAAATCCCTGTCTCCTCAGCATCGGCTTTCACAGCTTTGAAATATTGCTCCATATCAAAAAGAAAGTTGTCTAACTCCTTGGCATCTTGGGTGCCACAATAGGCACGGGGCTCGAGCACACGTGCCCTAGTGAATTCCATGCCACCACTCGGTGCATTGCCAAAGGCATGGGTAAGAACACCAACCCGGCCACTGAGGCCTTCAATCTCTAGCCTGAGTTCAGTGACAACATCCTCAAAATCTTGCCCTTGAGTAGGGCCATGAGTTTGCTCAAGATCATAAACCCGTTGCTCGAGGGTGGCTAATGAAGTTGCCATGGTCTCCATGCTGTCCATATGCTGCTCCAAGAGCTCAATTCTCTCTCTTTGCGTGGGTTGACGGTTGTCAGTAGCATCCATTTAGAAAGCCAATAATAGAGAAAGCCAAATAGACTAGGCTCTGATACCAACTGTCACACACCGGCAATGCAGAAGCCTTGACAAAGATATGCAAGTGTGTGTGGCGTTAGTTAACTCTCTTCACTAGCCCGCCAATAATGCTCAAAAGGTTTGCAAAGACAAGCAAACACAATGTTAGTTAAGTTGATGAGCCACAAGGTTGGAGACAAGCCACAAAATAGCAATCAACAAGCTAAAATTGAAGTAAACAATAATCGAAAGGCGTCGCACAATTTAATGGTGAAATGAACATTTCATTGATCAAAAGAAGGCATTACAATAGTTGAACAATGCACTAAAAGTGCTACAAAAGTTGCCTCACCATAAGCTAGGTTGGGGTACATTAAAGGCATAAGTGGTCTGGTTCAACACTTGGGCACCCCCTCCTTAATATAGCTTGTTAAGCCTTTTCCTAGCTGGCAGGAGGAAACATCCACTATGTTTTAGGAGTCATAATGAATTTTTAAAAATTCTACAAAAAGAGAAAAATTACAACTCTTGGTCCCAAAACACCTTTAATACTAAGGGATTTACATAAAAATTTATAAGGCAAAAAGATTACATTTGTCCCTCTAAAAGTTGGCCTAAAGTTGCTACTTGGTGGCATGGTTGCTTCATGGCATGTCTTGGACTATCTTGCACCATGCCTTGAGCCTTTGCTTGCACTTGCACCAACAACTTCTTAGGCATGTCTTTGGCTCTCCAAAGGGCACAAATATGTGTGGCATCAAGGTGTTGACCCTTGGATGGGTACACCTTGACACCAAGCCAAAACTTCATCAATTTCATATGGTTAAGTGTGAGAATGCCCATCGTTTCTGTACATATGGTGGTTATAGTACCCATTGTCTCACAAACAGAGGGGTTCTGTACCATGACCCCATAAGCCATAATTCTCTTCACTGTATAACCAAGAGTAAGTGTGATAAACAACGGCAAACCTTTGGGAATTGTAACTATAATAGTTACTTCAACAACCATAAGTCGCACCATAGATGTTATTGCATCATGAAATTTAGTCTTGCCAGCAAGGAACTCGATGGTTCCGTCCTCATTTTTTGTATTTCCTGTGAAGTATAAAATCTGAAGAATGCAGAAAAATAGGACAAAGAATAGCAAATTAATGAATTATACTATTGAGGTTAACGCGGTTAGCTGAGCATATAAAGACGTCTGCAGGTTGGAGTGATGAACGATTGTGTGCATCATCTCACCCCATGTGCTGTTCATGCCAACAGAGGTGACAAGCATTTGACTAAAGCCATCAATAACTGTGGTACCGGATAACAAGAACGGATTTTATTGATTAGCTTCTTCTGCATGTTTACTTTGGTCTGTCACACTCGATTCATTGACTTGCAGCGAGTGCCCATCAATGAACAAACCATCAGTTGGAACTTGGTCTCCAATCTTCAAGAAAAAAAACATCACCAACAACAATTTTGAAAATCGAAACTTGTTGCCTCTTTCTATTTCTCACAACATGAAATGGAATGTTGGTATTGCTTGTTTTGGATAACTTGACGAAGAGCCTTTCCTGCCAGAACGAACTTGTTGCTGAGACTAGCACGAAAAGAATGTAGCACTAAATATGGATACTTCGTCGCACCACCATTCTTTTTGCCCGAGCTTTTCTTTGCTATCAAGGCCAAGGGAAAGACTTGCGCATATAAAAAGGGTTAGAATTCTGCATTTTTTTAAAGCCTCCCAAACAAAACGATAGCAACTTTTTGTAGGTGGCTTGGGATACATGTTTGTGCTAAAAGCTTCGCGTCGATGTGAAATATCTTGGACCTTGTAGACACCCCATTTTTTGACCGACCTTAAGACTCAGACGTCACCGATTGAGCGCTCGGTGATGATGCATATTGTGCCGGTTCTGAGGTTTCAGAGTCTCGGCTGCAAGCCTTGCCTCCAGACTTCGGGGCTCTTTTGTGCTTTGCCTCGGCTTGCGAACCAGGTCCTGTTTTCTCTGTTTTCTCTTCCCAAAGGGAGGGAGAGGTCTCGTAGACCATCTCTCAGTGGCCGTAGGCTACATTTCATGGTCGTAGGCCACTGTTCCCGTTTGGAGACCAGTTTTTGGTTTTCGGAGCCGTCGGCCGTGCGCCTCGGTTCGGGATCGCTTAACTACCTCTGTTTGCTCCGGTTTTTGGCACACACCTTGTTTCCTATCTTTTGAGGGACACTGTGGCCCGAGAGACCACCTTCGTGGTTGCACTCTACTTCCGGTACCTAACAGCCTGTTTTCGGGGCCCCGGGCTGCGTGTTTTGGCCTCCGAACCCTCGTTTTGCATCGGTTAGGGTTCATTTTTGGCATGGACCCTATTTTCATTGTTAGGAAGGTGGTAGTATAGTGGGAGACTAGAAATTATTTTGAAAACATTTTCTCTCTCCTCCAGCCGATTTTCTTGACAGAAAGCTATTTTTTCCCACTTTTGGATCACAATTTCTGGTCTCCCATACCACCATTGTGTTGTACTCACCCGGGAGGCCACCAATATGGGTAGGCCGACCAGCTTTTCTTCCTGACCCTTTTGAACCTTGCTAGAAAGCTGGTTTTTCTCTCTCCTAGGTCACATTTTCTGGTCTCCCACCAAACAGCTGTATTCTACTCATTTGGGAGGCCACCTTTCTGGTATGGCCGACCACCTTTTCAACTTGACCTTTTTGACCCCAGGTTGATCGACCAGGAGGAGTGGCCGGCCGACCACATTAACTGGTCGGCCTGCTTCCTGCTTTTTGGCCTCTTTGAGTGTAAGCCAGCTGTGCCAGCTGGAAGCCTCAGAAGTGATCCTCCATACACGTGTATGGAGGATCTTTGAGCTTGGTTTGAAGCTTCTTAGAGAAACTTTGGCCTCTCTTCTCTATAAAGGGAGGCCTCCTCTTCCATTTCTAGGGTTGAACCCTTTGGTTAGAGCATACATACACTTCCCTCCATATCTCTCTCTTCCAAGCTCCAAAACCCCTTTGTTCTTGCACCATTTACACTACACCTCCTAGCCTACCACCTCCACCATCCATTAAATCACCTCGGAGCTGTTTTCCAGAGGTTGAAGGCTCATCATCTTTGTCCAAAAGGTGCTGGAGGTCTCCTCTACAAGGGTAAGTCTTTATTTCCCCCATTTTGACATTGTTTTTCTTCATTCTTTAGCCTTATTTTCAAGCATTTCTGGGTCTTGTCTTAAACTGAAAAGTGCCTTATTTTGAGCTTCTCTTGAAGTTTGATTGAGGACACTTTTCTGTTTGAGGTCATCTACCTCCTTGTATGCTCCATCCCTCTTTGTAGGCTTATTCTGCTTCCTATCTTAGCCTCGCTTGCAAGCATTTTCGAGATTTGTCGTAAACTGAAAAGAGTCTTATTTTGAGCCCCTCTTGAATTTTGATTAAGGACACTTTTCTGTTTGAGGTAATCTACCCCCTTGTATGCTTGTTTGCATCTTGTTTTGAGCCTTGCATCTAGGCCTTTGTTTCATGCTTTGTTTGGCCTTCTAGCCACTGAAATCCAATGGATTTTTAGTGGCTAGCACACTATTTTGAGAGCCAAAATCATAGGGGGTGGACCCCCTCTCTCCTTGTCTTGTTTGTTGGCCCTTTTGGCCTTCCAAAGGGGCTCCTACTTGCATGTTGTGAAGTCTTGTTTCAAGCCATTATTTGTGAGTTTCAAGGTCTTCCTTGACTATGTCCAGAGCCCTTTTGGCCATATTTTGTGTCTTTGATGCATGTGTAGAACAATCCCATTCAAGACCTTTCAAAGGAGCCTTTATTTGCATGCTTCCTAGCCACATTCCAGGGCCTTTGTGGTGGGTTTTAGGACCCTCATAACCTCTGTCCAAAGGTGGTTTTGCCATTTTATGTGTCCATCATATATGTATGGAACAACCCCTTACATGGCCTTCCAAAGGAACACTTCATTCTTGCATGCGTTGATTGAGTTTCAGTGGTTATTTGGGCATATTTTGGCATGACATACTTCTGTTTTTGGTTGGTTTGGTGAGCCCTCATATGCTTCATATACGTATAGCGTAAATCATGGTTCACTAGCTTTCTTTGCATGCTTTGTTGACCCTTGATTTTAGCACTTTTTGGCCATGCCTTAAACTGATATTGTGCTTATTTTGGACTGCCCTAGCTTTGTTTTTGGGTCTCATAGTTGAATGATGTTGGTTTTGCATGCTTATAGTTCAATACCCATGCTTAACTTTGAGTTTCGGGGTCCATTACATTCATATACTGAGGTATGTTCTTGTTTTGAGCCCATTATACATCATATTTCAGAGCTTGTTTGAATGCCATATTGCCATGTTTTATACTCCTTAAGTGTGCTTGAGAGTTGTCCATGAATGCCTTGTTTTCAGGCCATTGAATGAGCTCCATTTCTTTGCATTCCGAGCCATCATTTTAGGCCATTTCCCCACTGTTTCAGACCTGCCTAGGGTCTATTTGGGGTTGGTTTTGCCATTGGTGCATTGCTTTGGGTACCTCTAGAGTAACGCACTTCACTAGTTTCGGTACCCGAGCCCCCTAGCTTGCATTGTGTGCCATGTTTGCATGTTTCGGGACCATTTTGTATCATGTTTCAGAGCTGGAATTTGTATGTTTGTATGTCGTATTGCATCATTTTCCATGCTTTGGTAGAGTGGCATTTGATGCCTTAGGATCGATCCCTTGCATCGTGCATGTTTGTATGTGTTTCGGTTGTCTCATTTTCATCATATGGCCACTGATGTGGGTGTGGCTGAGGTCCACTCATATTGGTGTAAGTCCATCTTGCATTGAGTATGCCATTCAATTCATGTTGTTGCATGTTTGGCCTTTGCATTGCGTATGCTAGGTTGTTAGGTGCATTGTGTATGCCATGTTGCAATGTGTTGTGCATGTTATGTTGTTAGCATTGTGTATGCCATGTCATTCCTCGCATTGTGTATGCTAGGTTGTTAGTCGCATTGAGTATGCCATAGGTT